GATGGGCGGGGCCTGCGCACCCAGCGGAGCCTGGGAAGATCCCGCGCCGCGGAACCTCCCTAAGAATTCGCTGCCTCCGGGAAGACTTCCTGGATTACTTCCCTTTCCCACTCCCTGTGGACCCGGGGATGGGCGGGGCCTGCGCACCCAGCGGAGCCTGGGAAGATCCCGCGCCGCGGAACCTCCCTAAGAATTCGCTGCCTCCGGGAAGACTTCCTGGATTACTTCCCTTTCCCACTCCCTGTGGACCTTGACCCTGCTCAGTGCACCGTGAAGTCCTCCGCGCCCCTCCGTGGGCGTGCACCCCCACCCCGTAAGGCCGGCCCCCAGGAACAGGGCCAGCAGCGCCTGGGGTTACCTGCGCTCGGGAGACCCTGCTTCCTGGTTCCTTTGTCTCAAGCCGGCACCTGGGAACGCCTGCCCCAGAGATCCCAATACTGTAATCCAGCCTGGCAGGGGCTGCAGCAGTGCCTACCAGCAGTGTAAACACTCAAATCCGCGTGCCAGAGACGGCAGGAATGTCCTTCAGGCTCTTACCCCCTTACTCCCATCAGAAACCAGGCCAAGAGCACGCCTCTGCCAAGGTGAAGGGGTCCAGGTGGCACCCCACAGCCCCTTGAGCATTCCTCAGACTGTCTTCTATCCAGGTGCCCACTTCTAATGTTGTGTCCAGCGGAGCCTGACAAAACTATTGCCCTTCAGAGTCACCTGACCACCACACCTGGAATTACAGCCCTAGGTGGTTGGAAAGTTCACCACCAAGCCAGTCCACACTGCCTTTGTGAAATTCCACTCTCTCAGCGCCTGCTCTAAGGTGTGGAGAAAAGCACTTTATCACCTACCTCTCTTGGCCAATCTGTCCCGTAGGGCGCAACAGAAGTGCAGGATCAGCAAGCTCAGACCTAGAGAGAGTGAGGACCTCCTTACTTTGGTGCCCTGGGTGCCTGCCTCTCATGCCTCACCCTGCTCCCTGTTCAGCCTCCACTCCCAGTATACACCAACCTGGCTACCCCTCAGATCAGAAGTCCCCCTCCTACCCTAATCATGACCCCCTTCTCTCAGCATCCCTGGTACAGTATAGGGAGCAGCTAAGCAGCTGAGGATGGAGGCTGAGTGGCCTGAAGCTGTGCTCATGGTGGCCTCCTGCTCTGGGTTTCTCTGCAGGGACAGAAGGAGGAGGAGACAGGGAGAAGGCCCGAGCCCCCGGCCCGCACCTCCCACTTAGTTTCCTCCATGCGGGGCAGGAAGTCGGCCTGCTCCTTCTGGCAGGCGGCCACCTTGTCCTCGAGCTCTTCCCGCTGTCGCATCAGGCGGGCTGCCTCCTCCTGCAGCTGCTTCTTGTCCTGCTGCAGCCGCAACACTTGCAGCTGTAGGCCCTGCTGAGCACGCTGGGCACGGCGGGCCACCTGCTCCAGCTTCCCGCTGCAGCCC